CTGTGGTGGGTATAGTCAAGAAAGGACCTAAACAGAAATTAAAAAGAGTCTTTAAATATGTACGGAGGCACTGTCTTTTTTATCTGACAATAAACAAGCAGGAATCTCAGATCTTCTGATTTTGGCAGAAAATTTCTGATTTTTGAACTTTTTTCTGCCTCGTTTCTGGTCTTCTGATTTTATGTGGATTTGAACGAATTTTAGTCTATAGTACATGTATCGTACCACATTCATATCGCTTTCTGTTCCGGTAGTAGGCACTGGACTATAATATCTCAGTAGTTCGTTATAAATCTTCCTTGTATAGATCCTTATCTCAGAAACTGCGCATTCTTCGATCGATTACAGTAGTCTGCAAGCTTAGACATACTTTGTACATACGAGCGCTCGAGAACTGGGAAAAATCCTGAAGTTTTCTGTACTTTGTTTCTACTCATAAAATAACTTAAGAGAAACAAATATCTTCCAGAATGGAAACAATTGGTGTGTTTTAGAGTTGTCTGAAACGGATTGTTTTTGAGAATGTCTATCTCAGATGCTTGAATATATGCTGCAGTCGTAATTCAAATTCATTTAAATTTAAAATTAAATATTTTTAAAATTTAAAATGTTATTGTTTAAAAAGGTATAATTAATTATCTGAGCGCCAAAAAATTCGTATTCTGATTTTTTTTCTGATTTTCATCTTTTGAGTCTGGGATCCCTGTAGACAAGAATAAAAGTTAATTAACAAAAACAAAGAAAGAAGAATTTATAACAGTAATGTGCTAATTGAAATTATTATTGTTATGTTGTCTATCTGAATGTTTCATTGCTCAGCTTTGCCACTCCTCCGAATAATAGCGTTGGTAAGATTCCTAAAAGCATCACAAAACGCGGTACCTAATAAGATGGCTATAATTAACAAACGGATAAACTTTGGTTTACGGATGAGCTAAGTGGTTACCTAAGACACTATCAGATCAGAACAGAGGCAGGCACACGATAGCGGCAAATGCTTTTGAGGACACCTATGGTTTAGTTACACAAAAAGATTAATGATTGAGAGATACCTAAAAGATTCTAAAAAATGATACAATTTAATTAGTCACTCTTTTTGTAGAAATAAGCGTTCTGAGAGCTCTGTACTGTAAAAGAAGTGTGTGTAAATGACACACTGGAATTGAACGCTAACTGTATTTCTAGTATCCGTCTGGCATGCACGGCGTAAGTATGTCAAATACACAATGAGAAGCGACCGTCTAGTTTGACGGAGGGAGAACTACTCGTATACCAAGTGAACATTTAGACCATGTACGCACTTGTTGGTTAACAAATTTTGAATGATCGTTTCTCTTCTATATGTGTTATGACAACATTTCTCAACATATATGTTGGATTACGCCCGCTTTGTTGTGTAAATTTTTTACTTAGTTTCAAATTAAACTATAGTTTAGAACAAGTCAAAATACCATTTTGCTCTTGCATTGCAGCAATATTGCTGTCTTTATTCCTTTCATTAATTTATCTTTAGTAAACAAAAAAAAATAAGTCAATACCTGATCTACAACATTAATTATTTCACAAAAAAATAATTATGAAAGATAAACCTGTGTAGTCATTATATTCGTTTCAGTGAAGTTGTAGTAAAACCAGAATGTATACTAACGTAATAATTACTAATAAAACCTCAATAAAAATAAGGGCAGAATTTTTGTTTGCTTCTCTTTTTCAATTTTAATTTTAATCGGGCGTTTGTGCTTATAAGATACATTTTACACCTTTCATATTTTCAGTTTATTGTGTTCAGAGAAAACAAACGGAGAACAGTCATTGCGTCATAAATGCTTGTGAGTATATTAAGATGATACACTGGCCTTGGTTTTTTCGTCAAACTTCAGCATAAGTAAGTTGTATTACTTGTGGATAAAAGTTGTAGCGACGCTAAAGACAAAAACCTGACTTTTTTCGGTGATTATTTCAGCACTCATCGCCCCTACCCGTAGACTTATGTACATGAAGTATGCTCTAAAGATAACTAGATATGATTCCCTATCTGCAATACGTGGTTTAGTCGAAGGTTGACCTTCAGACTGTAGACTTACACCTAGAAGTTTTGGGTAATAGTAAAACATGAAGACACCCACAGACACTTACAGACATCCACAGACAGCTACACAGACATCCATGGATGTCTGTGTATGGATAGCTGTCTGTGGCTGTCTGTGGTTGTACGTCTGCTGTCTGTGCAGCTGTCTGTGGGTGTCTTCATGTTTTACTATTACCCAGAAGTTTTCAAGTGTATTTGTGCAAGTTTGAGAGAAAAAATGTTCAATTGTGATAAACATATACATGTAACAAAAATAAATCATGAACAAATGAATGTAAGTTATGTAATTCAGTGTATGGAGAAGCATATGTAGGGAGTAATCAGAAATGTTTAGAATTTATTTGTCGATGATACGTAGAAAAGCAGCACGAATAAGCATAAAAACCATAACGTATTTGTGCATCTATGTGTATACAGAGCGAAAAGTAATTTAAGTCCGTATATTCGACGATATATAGTCTGTTAAAGTAACAGAGGTACGTGTTAAAAATCAACAAAATGAATATGCTTGTCTAGAATATGGAAAATATTTTAAATCTCAAGGGATCACCAACCATATAAAATCATGTGCAAGAGATTGGTGTAAGAAAAATGGTATACGAACCAGTTAGATATGAATACATATTGAAAAAGCATGAACCCTGATATTCTAAGTGAAATGATGGGTACAATGGAAACCAAGCCATGGTTATGGTACCTTGATGATATGCCTAATGTTCGAGATTTGCGACGACTAAACCGAACACGCTACCGTAAGAACATTTTGCATTCAGGTGAATGCAACCAAAACCTTTTGTAATTTTGTGATTTTCATACTATACTGAAAGGTGAAGGTCTAATAACATAGCTCTCTGTATTTTAATCAACATACACATAAACAAAACAAAAGCAAATTTAAAAATTGACAATACGGAACCCGAAGGTCACCCACCTTAGACACATTTTTTTGATAAAACTGATAACATTCTTATTGGAATCTTATCAATTTCTTATGTAAGATTGTTTAAGATTTCTCATTGACAATCGTAAGTGTCTTATTAAAATCTTATAAGATTTTCACAAGAGATTCGTAAGAAATTCATAAAAAGTACCAAAAATTCTTACGTTATTCTTATTTACTAGAAGGCAGATAATGAGTTGGTTTTGATGATTTTTGTTATGATTAAGTTGCTTCTATTGGCTAAAATACTTCGTAACAATTGTTGGTACTTCTTATGAATTTCTTACGAACCTCTCATGAAAGTCTTATAAGATTCTTATAAGACACATACGACTGTCGATGGGAAATCCTAAAAAATCTTATATAAGAAACGGATAAGATTCCGATGGGAATCTTGTAAGACACTGGTAAGAAACTTAGACGTTTCTGGTAAGATTCTTATATAAGAATCGATGACTAGGGAGATCAAATGCACTGGGGATCAAATTCGTTAAGAAACCTATCGAGGATATCAACATCAGCCGATTAATAGACTAAAAAATTATAGCGAGAGACAGTAAAAATATCATATGCGAGTGAGAATCTTTAGATATCATTGCACGACAACCGATTCTTAGTACAACCGTCAGATTAGTACCTTTGATGATTTATCCAGAAGGACTCTCAGAACAATCAGTAAGTCTATAGCCTTTCTGGTTGTAACCGATATACTTGTTGACGAAATTGTAAGAAACCCTTGGATAATAAACCCCAGAGTTTCGTAAACTCAGAAATCCCTCAAGGTTGAACGAAAAACCCCACGAGTTTAGTAAAACACCCTATTGAGTTTTTCGAGACAAACAAAAACTCCAGAGGTTTTTTACGTGTGTCGTGAAACTTTTCAATCTTCAGAATAAATCCTGATTGTTTTGCTAAACAGTAGTTTAGAAAACCGTAAGGTTTAATAAGACCTATAAACTCTTTACAAAACCTTTTAGGTTTTTAAGAGCGACTAAAATACTCTTACGGGTTTAGTAACGTTTCGTAAACCCATTAGTAAACCCTTTGGGTTTTGTACACGACGCTTTCTTTTTAGAGTGTAGAACAATCAAAAGGCAAAGAAAAGCTAGAGAAAAGCTAGAGAAGGGTTTGAGGGGTATTCAAGTGTATATTTTAGTGTATATTCTAGTTTTACTCTATCTGTCTTGAAAATGGCAATTTAATTGTCCAAAGCTCGACTGTTGTGAAATTTATCATTAAATTTGAAATAGTTTTCATAACAATGACACTACTCGCTGCCGTTGAAGCTATTATCTTCTGTTTTGGATCAAGTGTCAATGGTCACACTTGCGGTTATAATTGGTTTTTGTTGACTTTGATGATTGCTGGTTGATAGCGATCGATATCATCACTTTGTGAATCAATAATTGCTTAATATTCGTTTAAATTGTTTTGATACTGCGTACCTAAAAACTTACACGACTGTGTGATGTGTCTGATTCCAACAGACAGCAGCAACTTAAAACAAACATAATAAAAAAAAGATTTTGAAAATCTGCTGAGTAGAACAAGTTTCATAAGCAAAACACCGGGTGACTAGTAATGATACACTTGCTATACAATTCATTCCTATGTTTGTTTGAAGATACGACGAATCTGACATATCTCCTGACGTCAAAAAATGTACAAACAAATACATTAACATTCACACGTGCCATGAGTACATATAAGATCCTATACAAATGCTATATTTTTTTTCCTTATTTCTCATTGTGTTTATTCTTTTTAATTGTATGTTTGTGTTTTTTTATGCATGATTAACCAAGGTTTTCTTAGTTTCTACCAAAAACCAATAGTTAAAAAACTATCCATTCACACATGATATAAAATAAAAGGAAAATAACGATTATCATCATCATTTCATTTTTCAGTCAAAACTTTTTCATCTTTTTTTCTCATCTTTATCATTGTTTTCGTACATACACACACATTATGACCACACTTATTGTAACAATTATTGCTGGAAAAAATTTAAAAGATGAAGATATGGGTGCTGGTAAGAACGATGCCTATGTTGAAGTATATGTTGATGATGATTATAAACAACGAACTAAAACAATAAATGATTCAAATAATCCAAAATGGAATGATCAGATGGATTTGTAAGTAGTATCTCCACTTTTCTATCAATCAATTTCCATTGTATTTCTCTACTTATCTATTATTATATTTAAAGTAATTTAAATGGTAATGAAAGACATTTACATTTACATGTTTATGATCAAGATACGGGCAGTGATGATTCAATTGGTTCTGCTCAAATTGATTTACAGGAAATTAGACAAGGTGGTTATAATAAATGGGTTCCAATTCATGATCATGGCTTTGGTAGATTAGGTAAAGATGGCCAAGTTCATGTTAAAGCGCATATAAATTAAAAATTAAATACATGAGAGATTTTCATTATTTATTTTCCTTTTCTTTTATGTCATGTGTTGATATTGTTTTTTATTCCCTGAACGTTTCACTAATAAAACCCGATCCTTGTGAACGAATTTTATAGGTTTCTTTTAGTGTTGTCGACCATTAAATGTTGCTTATATGCTTCTGGAAAAAAATCAGCCTTCTTCCTATCGTCAATGATGAGATACCGTTACATCGCGGCCGTATTCGACTATTTTTGACATTATCTACATAAAACAAACATTGTTTTTTCGACGGATATTCTCCATAACATCTTCTCATTATACCTTTCACACACATACACAAAAATACGATCTTTTCCATTGTTTAGTTGTTTTACATCAACATATTTTGCTAAACTATTTCTGATGATGACATGGAATCCTTTTACAGCTTTTGTTGTTGTTATTGCTACTCACTATTTGGGTTAAAGTCATTATCCGATTCTATTTGAAAAGAAATAGACATGTCTACAATTGATATAAAAAGGATGAGTGACAATAAGGTCATATGTTTGCCCATAATATTTCTCAAAAAGAATCTAGATAGACGTGATTAGCAAATAATTCTGAACAAAGCTGAATATTCAGATTTACTTTAGTCTTCCCAGGTGAGTGAAAATGAAACATTAACGAGCCATTAATGGCCAATTAATGGTATGGCATAAGAATGATCAGTTGATGGTCAATTAATGATATAAGAATGAGCTAGAAACAATCTCATTTATGACTCATTTTGTGATCATTAGCAAAAATGATATAAAACTTGACCATTAAGGATCTAGTATAAAAAATGACCATAGAATGGTCATTTCATAACCATTTTACCATAACCATCTTACGGTCATTTATATAACTTTAAGTTAACATCATTTATGTGTGGCTAGTTGTTCAGTTATTATGTGATTTTGCATCATTCTTGAGCAATTGCCCGTGACACGACATTACCGCGAACGACATTACCGCGAATACAAAAAACGACATTACAGTGAACGACGTTACCGCGAAGACTCGTTTATTGGAAAAGAAGAATAAATGAGCCTGGTTTTGTACTTTGTA